TGGTACCCTTGGATTCCCTTTTGGCTGTGCATATCCTGAGGCGCTGGAGAGCACATACGATATCCGGTTCGTTGTTTTCTTTTTATTAGGGGGCATGCGCCCCCTACCTGCGCTGCCATTTGCAGCCTCAGCTGTCAATCACCGGATCCCAACTGGTGATGCCTGCTGGTGATTGCCTAGTATTACTGACAGGAAAGTGACCTGTGTATAAACAAACACAGATCTCCTTCTTGTCAGCTCATGCACTCTGCTTTGTATGGTTCTGCGTAGCAGAGCCATACAAAGCAGTGTGCTTACAGTGTAAAGTCCACACACAGCACATAGTTAACCCTTTGATCACCCCCACATGTTAACCCATTTCTGCCCAGTGCATTAGTATAGTGTCAGTGCTTTTTATTAGCACTGATCAATGTATTGGTGTAACTAGGGATGTCAGTGACACAGTCAGTCCCCCCCCCAGTGTCAGAATGCCCATCGCAGTCCCACTATAAGTCGCTGATCGCCGCCATTACTAGTAAAAAGAAAAAAAAATCCAGTATATATACTACAATTTGTAAACGCGATAACATTCACATAAACCATTTAATTTACACGTATTGGGATTTTTTTTTTTAGCAAAGACATGTAGCAGAATACATTTTGGCCTAAATTTATGACGAAAATTTGATTTTTAAAAAATTTCTTTACTGGGCATGTTTAATAGCGAAAAGTCAAAAATATTGTGTTTTTTTTTTTTTTTTTTTCTTTCAGAATTGTCGGACATTTTTGTTTATACCGCAAACAATAAAAACCACAATGGCGATCAAATACCACTGAAAGAAAGCTCTATTTGTGGGGTAAAAAGGACATAAATTTCATTTTGGTGCAGTGTTGCATGACCGCGCTATTATCAGCGTAATGCAGCGTTGTATCGCAAAAAAATGGCCTGGTTAGGAAGGGGGTAAATCCTCTGGAGGGCAAGTGATTAAGGCTCCATGTACACTGCAGCTGATAAACTGACGTTCAGGAGCTTTTCTGCGTTTTTTTTTTTTTTTTTTCAGCAGCCCCTGAACTCTCCCTAATGTTTTCCTATGTGTCCATGTACACTGTCGTTTATAGTCGTGTACAGGCAGTTGAGTTTACAGTAGTTTTTTTTTTTTAATGCACCAAACTTGCCTTAAGGAGTAGATTTTATCAGCATTTCAAATGCTTGTAAACGTGGCTAACTGCGTTTATAAGCGTTTGCGTTTTAGAATCGTTTTTTGACAAGTCCATATCCAGGGCACAATTCACTAAGCGGTTAAAAAAACCCAATTTGAATTCACTAAAAAAAGGCTACTAAAATACCTCATGATTTTATCAAATTTATGCGGAATTTTAGTAGTGAAAAGCATGCATCATGTTTTAGCTGTCAGCGGGATTCCCACTGACAGCTGAATGTAAAAGATCGAATTGCCGGCAATTAAAAAAATCATTTAAAAAAAAACAGCGTGGGGTCCCCCCCTCCCATCCATACCAAGCCTTTCGGGTCTGGTATGGGTTTTGAGGGGAAGCCCCACGCCCCCAAAAAATGGCGTGGGGTTCCCTCCCAAAATCCATACCAGACCCTTATCGAGCATGCAGCCCGGCAGGTCAGGAAAGCCCGAACCATACCAGGCCACGTGCCCTCAACATGGGGGGGGGGGGGGTGCTTTGGGGTAGGGGAAGCTGTGGTTGTGGGGGTCTGCGGGCGGGGGGGCTTATCGGAATCTTGGAACCCCTTTAGCAAGGGGGCCCCAGATCCCACTTCCCATGTGAATGAGTATGGGGTACATATGCTACCGATTCACAAAAAAAGCTGTAGTGTGAAAAAAAGTCATTCTTTGACAAGTCCTTTTAATAAAAGAAGAATGTCCCCCGAAGTAAATCCAATGTCAGTCACGATGTCCACCGCCGATCAGAAGAAAAAAAAAAAAAAAAGGCTCTGCTACCGACGCTGGCCCCCAGCTATCTGCTCAGAAGTTGGTTTGACAGTTCTTAAATATGTAAGGGACGGGGCCATCAAGTATGTGACCCTGCCCCTGTGTGACGTCAGTGACCAGCATGCCCTGGTCGATGTCATCGGGTGGCCCCGCCCCTTACATATTTAAGAACTGTCAAACCAGATTCTGAGCAGACTGCCGGGGCCAGCGTTGGTAGCAGAGCCTTTTTTTTTTGGGGGGCTCTTGCTGTCAGTCAGGTGCAATTAAGAGGAAGTGGGGGGGGGGGGCACGGTTAAGTCCCGATGTGCGTGTCAAACTGCTTGGTAAGGGGACACACAAAGAGGAGGAGCCAAGATTGCTGGCAGGGGACCTGAAAAGAGGAGGATCGGGGCCGCTCTGTAAAACCACTGCACAGAGCAGGTGAGTATAATATGTTTGTTTCTTTAATTAAAAAAAAAAAAATTCTGCCTTTTAGTAACACACCTTCCCGCCCGAACTATAGCAGATTGACAGCCAGGTAGGACACTCCTCGTTGTGACTGGGCATCATATGACGTCCTGCCAAAAGGAGCCGTTCACGCGGCCGCACGACCTATCACCAGCTGTGTCCACGGGACACAGGCAATGACTTATCGCTACACCGGCCCGTTGCCAGTGTCATGTGACCTCTGTGACCAATCACAGCCCATCTGTATCATGTAATGATACATGAGCAATGAAAGACATTGGTATTAGCAATCATAATGTGTTAAATAAAATCCTGTTAACTTGCCCAGAGTAGTTCAATGTTACTATGGTAACATTGTATTTGTTTGGTCAGCAGTGTGTTGAAAAAAATAATGTAATAGAAAAATTTGAAAAAAAAATTATTTTAACTTTTTTTTACATACTGTCACCAGTCAGTGTGTCTGATCACCGTCACACCAGTTGTATAATAACGCTTTACTGGACTGGTGACAATATGTAAAAAAAAAAATAGATTTTTTTTTTTTTAATTTCTACATTTTCCAAAAATTTGTAACAAAAAATTACAACCTCCAAAAAACTCATAATGCCTCTTAACCACCTCCTGTCCGGCCGTTGTATATAAACGGCCGCACGGTGGCAGTGCAGGGTCGGGTGGCCGTGTATAAAACGGCGTCCCCGCACCCTGCTTGTGCGCGTACCCTGCGAGGTCCCGATCGTGTGATCACTGATTGGCCAATCAGTGATCACATGCAGAGTAGTAAGCAAGATGTCACTTGTGACATCATTGCTTACTACGTGTGAAATCTGTGAATGATCACAGAGGTCACATGGTACAAGGCTATTCACAACAGCCTTGTACCATGTGACAAGCTGTGACCAATCACAGTTCACTCAGTAGTTCTCAATGGCTGCAAGAATACAGCTAGAGAGAAGGAGAAATGATTGCTTTTACAGCCTTTATGGGTGTAAAAGCAATCGGTGTAAAAAAAAAAAAAAAAAAAATCTTCATCACCCCCCACAAGTAGTATAGTGTCACCATGGTGACACTGTACTGCTAGGGTGACAAGTATGTAAAAAAAAAAAAAAATATCAAAAAGTTTCAAAATTATAATTTTTGGTTATAAACTAATTTTGGGTTATTTTTTTTTTTTTTACTAAAAAGATAACGGAATAAATTTTGGCCACGATTTATGATGAAATATTATTTATTTGCAAAGTTTTATAAGAAACTTTTTTTCAGAATTTCTGGACTTTTTCATTCATATAGCAAAAAAAATAAAAATCCCAGTGGTGAATTAATAAATACCACCAAAATAAAGTGTTATCTGTCTCAAAAAAATGCTAAAAAATTCATATAGGTACAGTGTTGCATGACCGCACAATTGTCATTCAAAGTGTGATAGCACTGAAAGCTGAAAATTGGCCTGGACAGGAAGGGGGTAAAAGTGTCCGGACTGGAAGTGGTTAATAAATACCTTGAACTGTCTATTTTCCATAAATGGGTAATTTGGGGGGTATTTGTACTATCCTGGCATTTTCGTGCCTCAAGAAATGAGATGGGCCGTCAGTACATCAGGATTGAGCGATTGTCAGATATATATATACACCATGTTTTGTGGACTGTATAACTTTCTTAGACTAAATATTATACACTAATTTTGGGGTATTTTCACCAAATAATTGAAGCAGAATACATTTTGACCTAAATTTATGAAGACATTTTATTTATTTACAAAATTCTATAACCGAAACGAAGAAAAATTTGTTTTTTCAAAAGTTTCAGGTTTTTTTTTTTTTTTTATTTAGCAAAAAATAAAAAACTCAAATGGTGATAAAATACCACCAAAAGAAAGCTCTATTTGTGTGGAAAAAAAATGATAAAAATTTGATAACAGTGTTGCATGACCGCATAATTGTCATTCAAAGTGCAACAGCGCTGAAAGCTGAAAATTGGCCTGGGCAGGACAGGGGTAAAAGTGCCCGGTATTGTAGTGGTTCAGTTAACTTTTACGCCTGCTGCTGTTTGCAAGTGTACTGTATTTTGAACGCCATGTGGAAAACACTCACAGAACGTGGGTTTCCCAAACCATGTTCTGGGGTGAACTGTTCCTTTTTTAGTTTTTTAGTTTTTCAAAGCGAAAAAAGTTAAAAAAAAAAAAAAAAAAACCAAGCATGAGCTGTTCATTCAAGGAATAGAAAATAAGTGTGCAAATAAGATGTTACATCAGTAAAGACATCTAAAGCTGAACAATATCTACACTGAATCTGCTCCAAAGGTACAGCTATAATGGATCCAAGAGAACTCCAGTATTTGTCTTCCTGAAACCAATTTCATAACGTTGGGTGAAATAGACGACTGGCATTGAGCAGTCATTTAGAGAAACAAAAACCTACTATATATATTAATCATTAGGATGAACAATGTGGTATATAAGATTTAAATGTAGTCTGTTTAGAAGTGAATGGTAAAAGCGGTCTGAGGGAAGGCATTGAAATCAGAGGAGCAAGAGCATAAAAGTGGGATATTTGTTATGTGATGACATGACGTGACAGAGGCAGTATTGTATTTAACACATCATCTGTGTGTCTACAGGATGGAAACAGTTTTATCGTGTTGGACGAAGAAAGCTTTGCAAAAGAGATTTTACCCAGACATTTCAAACATAACAACATGGCAAGCTTTGTACGACAACTCAATTGGTGTAAGTATAGACCCACCCCAAATGTTTTATGAAATCACGGTGACTTATCTAGTCATTATTGCTAAATATTTAACTTTTTTTTTATTTATTTATTTATCGAGTTTATATAGCGCCAAAGGGTTTGCTCAGCGCTGTACAATAGGGGGGGACAATACATGAAACAGTACAGTAACATCAAACAGCACACAAGGGGTAAGAGGGCCCTACTCTTTTGAGCTTACAATCTAGGAGGGAGGGGGTAGAGGTACAGGAGGAAATGGCTGTGGGGGATGGAGTGGTAGGAGGAGGGAAGGGCAGCGGCTGTCTTCCCTGAAGAGGTGGGTTTTCAGGGAGCGCCTGAAGGTGAGGAGGGAAGGTGACAGTCTGATGGATTGGGGTAGTGAGTTCCAGAGGATGGGGGAGGACCTGGAGAAGTCTTGCAGTCGTGCGTGGCCAGGGAGCAAGATAGAAGGAGGTCCTGTGAAGAGCGAAGGGTACGGGTAGGGTTAAAAATATTTAACTTGAGTTTTAGCCAGAACTTTTTTTTTTTTTCTGCTGTCTACCAACACATCACTTAACTGTAATGATGTATGTCCTGCCTCTGCTGCTGTGTAGAGATAGTCTCTTCAGAGTGTCCGGTCCTCTTCCTGGTTCTGAACTTATAACACTGTGGGGCTTAATAGTTTGCGGACTAAGGGATGAATTACATCCACGGCGTTCCGAATAATGTGTGTAAAGGTGGCTGCTGTTTCTTGCACTTTGCTCTTGCTCTGTGCCTTGCTCATACCTGCATCTTCCTGCTGCAGTTTTATTCTCCTGGCCACATCTCCCTGATCCTGGCCAGCCTGATCCTATCCTGGCCATCTTTTTGCCTGCTTACTTCAGTTCGACCACCTTTCCAGCTAGCTGTTCCCTAGCCTTATCCGATCACAGTGAGGTCTTACCTGGCCTTATCCAGTTATGGTTGGCTTTACACCAGACTGTCCCAGTCCCTGATATCTACCCCCTAATATACTGTTCCTTTCAACACCAGGATGAATGTGATGCAAGCAAAAAATGGGCACAATTGGTGCAACTTGCGAAGAGGATAACAAAATCAAGCAAACTGCAGCTCTAGTAACTGTGGAGGGAGACAGAATATAAATAACATATGAAACAAAGAAAATTGAGAGCACAAAAACTGCTACAGAGCTGTTCTGAATGACAGCTGAGGCATCCACTTTTTCAGATTGTCTGGAGTTAACATGTTTCAAGTATTAAACTTTTTTTTTTTCTTTAAACTATACATTTAATATCCATATACATTGCTAAAAAAAAATGATAGGAACACTTTGAAAACATATCAGATCTCAATGGGGAAATATATAATGCTTGATAGCTATACTGATATGGACTGGGTAATGTGTTAGTAACATAAGGATGCCCCATTGTTTGATGCAAATGAAAATGATCAACCTACAGAGGACTGAATTCAAAGACCCCATGAAAATCGAAATGGTACTCGGTAGTTTGTATGGCCCCTATGTGCTTGTATGCGTACCTGACAACATCAGGGCATGCTCCTAATGAGACAAAGGATGGTGTCCTGGGGTATTTCCCCTCAGATCTGGACCAGGGCATCACTGAGCTCCTGGACAGTCTGAGGTGCAACCTGGTTGTGTCGGATGGACCAAAACATGATATCCCAGAGGTGTTCTATTGGGTTTAGGTCAGGCGAGTGTGGGGGCCATTCAATGGTAACGATTCCTTCATCCTCCAGGAGCTGCCTGCATACTCTCACCGCATGAGGGTGGGCATTGTTGTGCACCAGGAGGAACAGCTCCTCCTGTGTAGTTCTGGGCTGATCCCTCACTTTTTTCCTTACCCCATGAGGCAAAATCTTGCATGGAGCTCCAGACTGAGGACGATTGATGGTTATATTGTATTTTTCATTTGCAAAAAATCGCTCAACAGATGACTCCTTCTCACCAAGCTTTTTCCTGATGGTCTTGTAGCCCATTCCAGCCTTGTGCAGGTCTACAGTCTTGTCCATGATGTCCTTTAACAGCACTTTGGTCTTGCCCATGAGGAAGAGGTTTGAATGGAAGAAAGATTCTGTGGACAGGTGTCTTTTATACACATAATGAGTTGTCATTAGGAGCACCTTCTTAAATTGACAGGTCTAATCTGTGTTCCACATGAGCACATAGCCAGTCTGTGGGAGCCAGAATTATTATTGGTTGGTAGGGGATCAAATACTTATTTTACACACAGAACTGCAACTCAGTTTATATCATGTGTTTTTTATTTATTTTTGGTTTATTTTCTGTCTCTATCATTTAAAATACACCTATGATAAAAAAAATTATAGACCCTTCATTTCTTTGTAAGTGGGCAAACTTACAAAATCTGCAGGGGATCAAATAATTATTTTCCCCACTGTATGACTGTGAGCAGGTGAAGTGTGGACAATGGTGAATCACCACTGCAATTAAGCCAGCCATAGATGGATCGAATTTCGGCAGGTTCACCAGGGACCGGATGATATTTGATTCATCAATGGGCAGGCTGCTTGTATCCATTGATCAACTTCTGTACAATCCGTCTCTGAATTTTTGCATGCGATCACTGCTGGCCGCTATAGCTGCTAGCAGTGATCTTTGTGTTTTGTCAGTAAGTTAGGTTACCCACAAGCAGAATACAAAAGCGCTGTGGGAGGGATTCCCCCATCAACACTCAAGCTATTTTTTTTCCTTCCACCCATGGGGAAGGAAAGGAAATAGGATAATCTATGGCTTTCCTTAGTTCACATCTCAGTATTTTGTCACAGTTACAAAGTAAAAACTGAATTTTAGAAATGTTTATAAATGTATGAAAAAGGAAAAACCAAAATATCACGTTGGCATACGTATTCAGACTCTTTGCAACAGCACTTGAAATTTAGCTCAAGTGCCACTCATTTCTCTTGATCATTGCTGAGATGTTTGTACACCTTGATTGTAGTCCACGTGTGGTAATGTAAATTGGTTTGACATGATTTGAAAAGTCACACACCTCTCTATAAAAGGCCTCACAGCTGACAATGCATATTGAATCAGAGCAAAAGCCATGAAATCAAAGAAACTGCCTGCAGAGCTCAGAGACGGGGTTACTGCAAGGCACACATATGCGGAGAGAAATGGAGAAGGCACCAGAGCTAAATTTCAAGTGTTGCAAAGAGTCTGAATAGTTACAGTATGCCAATGTGATATTTCAGTTTTTCCTTTTTTTTTCCTTGCAAACATTTGTAAAATTCTGTTTTCACTTTATCATTATGGGGTAGTGAGTGTAGATTAATGAGATAATGTAGTATCCGGCTGCAACTTAACAAAATTGAAAAAAGTTACCGGGGTCTGAATACTTTATAAAGTGTGTGTGTGTATATATATGTTGTATGTCCTTTCCATTTCTTGCATTTTTGGTGTTTCTTTAGGTATTTTACACAAAAATAGGGTCCAGAGTGCAACCTTCAAAATTAAGAGACCCCAAGAAAAGCATGTGCCCAGTGCTAAAAGTGCAAAAGTTGTGCTTTTCATCCCATAGCAGCAGGTAGCAGTCAAGTTTGTCCATGCCAGACCTGCTAAACATTTAGCATTCATCTAAACACTTGGCTCATCCCCTCTGGCCACAAATGGTCTTATGCAAGAATTTAAATATTCGTTTATAGTTGTGCACACTTATGGCATTTTATTTACCCCCTATTTAGCTTTACATACTCAGTTGAAGTTTTATTTTGACACAGACATAGTGTGCAGTACTTTGCAGAATGCATGGGTTCATTCATTAATATCAATCCCTCTTCTTCAAAGCAGCACTGAATCTAATGCCTCTACTAATCTCAAGGAAACTTGGAAGTAAACTGGTTAATCTACCAGTGGCTTCTCAAAGATATTCATAGGTAGGATTCTGCACCTTGAGTGTCGGAGACAACAAGTCACCTGATGTCTGACAGTAACTGTTTGTCATCAGCCTGACCTTTAGAATCTGTTGTTATGCATTTTCAGGAGTTGGGTGACTGTGTAAGGTCAGGCAGTAGACAAGGCAGTTTGAATTCTTGCCTAAGATATAGACTTTGAAATTTTTGATCTTGGCAAAAAGTAAATTAGGTTTACTTGAGCCTGATATAGATCTAGTGCTGTGAACAAGAGCAGCACCACTGCTGTCTTTTCTTTCTTCACTGGCTCAGATGCAGCAGCGGGAGCCATTGGCAGCTGCTGCTGTCAATCACAGCCAGTGATGGAGCAGGGAGTGGGGCTGAGGCACTCTGCGTGTCAATGGACACACAGAGTGTGGATTGGGAGCGAGCCTGCACAAGTTTCCCGATAGCAAACGGCTTTCTATGTGGGCACTTAGCAGAGGGCAAGAGCTATGAGTGGCAGTGGGGGACCCAAGAATAAGAGGATCAGACCTGCTCTGTGCAAAACCATTGCACAGAGCAGGTAAGTATAGCATATTTTCTGCTTTAAAAAAAATTATATTTTTACCTTTACAATCACTTTAATGTAATTTCTATCCATTGTGTCTATATTACACATTTTAGTACCTATTACTCAAACTAATTTAGTCTGATTTTGGATGGAAAAAGAATGTTCAACCCTTTGCTAGTTTATAACATGGCTCCTGGACCTTGGGTTGATGATCATATCTTCACCCCTAGCATAATATGATAGGCCTTGTCCAGCCTATGGGGAGCCAATCTATGTTCGTACTCTGAATTCAGTTGGTGGACACTGGCACTCACTATGGAGTTTCCCCCTGTAAACCTGAAAGGTTTAAAACATTTAAAATTATATGGGAAAAACTATTTCAATCCACAAAGAATTTGTTGACTGAAGTTGTTTTCCAGTCAAAAGAGTAGTAAAAAAAAATCTTCCAGAATTTCTGTAAAGTTGGTCTGATTTACAATATATATACTAGTAACTCGAAATCATGAAATGCATTCAAGATTTGTGCTTGAGATGTTCAATAATTGCTAGTTATCAATCTTCACGTTATTTTAATTGGCTTTTGGAAATATCAGTGATAAACAACACAATGGAGCTGATTTAGTAAAACTGGAGAGTGCAAAATCTGGGGCAGCTGTGCATGGTTCCAATCAGCTTCTAACTTCAGGTTGTTCAATCAAGCTTTAAAAAAAAAAACTGGAAGCTGATTGGTTTTTCTGCAGAGCTGCACCAGATTTTGCACTCTCCTTTTTTACTAAATCAACCCCAATGTATACTTGCATTTCTCATTTTTTTTTTTCAGTAAATGTAACATCACTTTCTTTTTTGCAGATGGCTTTCATAAAGTTATGCAGGATGAGTCTGGCGCAGCTAGGCATGATAAATACTGCTCAGGCAGATACCAGCATCCCTTTTTCAAGCGTGGTCAAGAAGAGTTATTGATAAAGATAAAACGGAAGGTAACATCAAGTACTGGAGATAAGCGTGTATTCCGGAAGGCTAAGGTTTGTTTGCCTGTTTGGTGTTTTTTTTTTTTTTTTTTTTTTTTTACAAAGTACAGTATGTTTGTACAGTGTGAAAGTAGAAGCTCCAAATTAAAGACTTGAGCCGAGCTCACTTCCTGGTTCAAACTCCTCCTATCTGAAGCACTATGGAGGAAACATGGCCATATTAAGGTCAAACTTTATATATTTCTCAGTTATGCCTGTTAGAACCACATAGGCCTTATTTTTTAGTCAGTATTTAGCCACAGAAAAGGCAGATTTTTAAAGCTACACCAAAGCCATCTTTTCTGGGTAGTTTAGAATATTATTACAGGTACTTGTATAGTGCCATCAATTTACGCAGCGCTTTACATACAGTATCTCTCTATCTTCTCTTCTATCTTTTCATGTGACAACACTGAAGAAATGACACTTTGCTACATTGTAAAGTAGTGAGTGTACAGCTTGTATAACAGTGTAAATTTGCTGTCCCCTCAAAATAACTCAACACACAGCCATTAATGTCTAAACCACTGGCAACAAAAGTGAGTACACCCCTAAGTGAAAATGTCCAAATTGGGCCCAATTAGCCATTTTCCCTCCCTGGTGTTATGTGACTCGTTAGTGTTACAAGGTCTCAGGTGTGAATGGGGAGCAGGTGTGTTAAATTTGGTGTTATCACTTTCATACTGGTCACTGAAAGTTCAACATGGCACCTCATGGCAAAGAACTTTCTGAGGATCTGAAAAAAAAAAATTTGTTGCTCTACATGAAGATGGCCTAGGCTATAAGAAGATTGCCAAGACCCTGAAACTGAGCTGCAGCACGGTGGCTAAGACCATACAGAGGTTTAACTGGACAGATTCCACTTCATACAGGCCTCACCATGGTGGACCAAAGAAGTTGAGTGCACGTGCCCAGCGTCATATCCAGACGTTGTCTTTGGGAAATAGACAGATGAGTGCTGCCAGCTTTGCTGCAGAGGTTAAAGGGGAGGGGGGTCAGCCTGTCAGTGCTCAGACCATATGCCGCACACTGTATCAAATTGGTCTGCATGGCTGTCGTCCCAGAAGGAAGCCTCTTGTAGAGATGATGCACAAGAGAGCCCACAAACAGTTTGCTGAAGACAAGCAGACTAAGGACATTGATTACTGGAACCATGTCCTGTGGTGTGATGACACCAAGATAAACTGATTTGGTTCAGATGGTGTCAAGCGGCAACCAGGTGAGGAGTACAAAGACAAGTGTGTCTTACCTACAGTCAAGTATGGTGGTGGGAGTGTCATGGTCTGGGGCTGCATGAGGGCTGCTGGCACTGGGGAGCTACAGTTCCCTGAAGGAACCATGAATGCCAACGTGTACTGTGACATACTGAAGCAGAGTATGATCTCCTCTCCTCGGAGACGGGGCTGGAGGGCAGCATTCCAACATAACCCCCCAAACACACCTCCAAGACTACCACTGCCTTGCTAAAGAAGCTGAGGGTAAAGGTTATGGACTGGCCAAGCATGTCACCAGACCTAAACCCTATTGAGCATCTGTTGGGAAGGTGGAGGAGCGCAAGATCTCTAACATCCACCAGTTCCGTGATGTCGTCATGGAGGAATGGAAAAGGACTCCAGTGGCAACCTGTGACGCTCTAGTGAACTCCATACCCAACAGGGTTAAGGCAGTGCTGGAAAATGGTGGCCACACAAAAAATATTGACACTTGGGGCCCAATTTGGACATTTTCACTTAGGGGTGTACTCACTTTTGTTGCCAGTAGTTTAGACATTAATGGCTGTGTGTTGAGTTATTTTGAGGGGACAGCAAATTTACACTGTTATACAAGCTGTACACTCACTACTTTACATTGTAGCAAAGTGTAATTTCTTCAGTGTTGTCACATGAAAATATATAATAAAATATTTACAAAAATGTGAGGGGTGAACTCACTTCTGGGAGATACTGTGTATATTGTACATTCACATCAGTCCCTAACCCTCAAGGGGCGTACAATCTAAGGTTCCTGACTTACATTCATACATGCACATACTAGGGCCAATTTAGACAGGAGCCAATTAACCTACCAGCATGTCTTTGGAGTGTGGGAGAAAACCCACGCAGGTACAGGGAGAACATGCAAACTCCAGACAGGTGGTTCTGTGGCTGGGATTCGAACCAACGACCCTAGTACTGCCAGGCGGAAGCGCTGACCATTTAGCCATTGTGCTGCCCTACAAATAGTTTTTAGTGAAGTTCTTTCCAGGGAATCCTTGAGATCCTAGAAAAAAAATGGAAATGGTTTTGGACCAGTGCAGTGTATTGACATTAGACATCCCCACAACCATCTTTAAACTGAACTCTGGGTAAAAATGATCCTTGTAGTGGTACTCCCCTGCACTGCAGGGGTTAAATTATGCTTTTTATGTCTAGGGGGAAAAGAAGCATTAAAAAATTTTTTTTCTCAAGTTTAGCCATAGAAAAATATTTTTAGCCATAGTGAGATAACTTACCTGTAATGAAGTATGTCCCATGTAAGAACATTTATCAATAGAGGAGGGGGTGGGTCCTCATCTGGAACTTTGTCACAGCAGCTTCACAAAAGAGCTGAATTTATTAACCCCCACAGCGCCACAAGTTTAACGTGGAGCTCCAGTTTCCTGTGAAAAAAAAAATTTAGCTTTTCGTTTAAAAAACAGCCACTCACCTGTCCCACGATCCAGCAGTGTGCTCACCCCAGCCTAGTTCATCGGCTGTCTTCTGTCCCCGGCATCTTAACTGTGGGCACCCAGCTGTGACAGCTTGCGGCTCCACAGCCAGGTGCCCAGTGCGCATGCACCAGCAGCACTGCACATTGTAAATGGTCCCACAATCTTCTGGGACCTGTCACTTGCCCCAGAAGACTGCGGGGGGGGAGGGAGGGGGCAAGGAGAACTTCAGCTTCCGATCACCTAGGCACTCCCCCCGCTGCTCAAAGGTGCCAATTTTTCATGGGGAGCTGGGCACAAGTCCTTAAAGTGGAACTTCCCCTTTTGGGTGGACCTCCACTTTTAAAGACAGAATGAGGACAGGGCATCCCTGCACAGAAGATTTCTATAGGATCCAGCTGCCTGGGACTCTTTCATTACAGGTACGTTTGCTCATTAAAGCTATAGACAATGTTTTCTTATGGCTAAAATTTAGCTTTTAAACATAAGCAGCCAAAATGTGTAAATTCAGTGAAGTCAAATAAAGTAGTTTTTTTGAATGTGTTTTTGCTGCATGTACCATAAAGCTGAAATATTTAACTAAGAAAAACAAAAGATAAGTGAGCGCTTATGTGAATATGTAATGAGCAGCAGCTGTACACCAAAAAAAGGCACCGTATCAGACCTTCAATAACATAAATGTGAAAGAGGAGGTGCAGCGCTATATAACTAAACACAATAATAAATAAACCACTAATGGTACACAATAGTGAAAAACAGTGACTGAAATTAATAACGCCACTAAATGGTGGCCGTAAAGTGAGGAGAGTGAAACAGTCCAATGAAGGAGTGCTCTTGAGATCCGGGATGATCTTCAAACGTCCTATATAAAGGACTAACAGGTGATAAAATATGAAGACTGCGCACTCACCAGATACGCAATCTTTATGCGCATTTGTGTAAAATATCACTGGACCTCCTGTATCCTCATCCTGGTCTGGTCAGATCTGGTCAGCATATCCCTCAAGGCCTGGTATCCAAATAGATGTAGCTTTTCCGTAGATTTGGCCGGTTTTCACCAATGCTCAAATAAATAGAAAGGGCCACATAGTGTAATATCCTCAGGTATCTTTATTAGAGGTACAGGATAGCAGGAAAACTGACATGCAAAAGTATACTGATCAAATGAAAATCAAAGATGGCCGCCAGGGCCCCTCGTGGCGCCGGCGGTGAGGCGTCCGACCTGCTGTAGCTTTTCCTGACGCGTTTCGAGCAATGGCTCGTACTCATAGGGGTGCAGCTTACAGTGGTGGACGCAAATGACAGTCTTTAAATACGAGGCGCATGCGCGGTACGTCATGCGCCATTTTCCCTATGCTGGATGTCCGCGCAACAGGCGCCATATTGTTGTAGTCCGACCCGATGGCGCATGCGCAAACGCCAAACATCGGGTACACAGAAGCAAACAGCTGAAATCAATGCTGTAAGCACCAGGAATGATTCGATTGAATACTATGGACATCAGGGATGATTCTATCTATAGATTATAAACACCTGTGTAAAGTGAAACCCAAGTAATATGGCTATGGGCAAAAAACAAAATTGGATCCTAATTTAATAGATCCAAAATCCTATTACATCGCCCATATTTATCATGACAAAACAATTTAGGTATATACATCCCAATTATGGATAAAAATATATTTACATAAAAAATAAAATTAAAATTCATATAGAAAATCATGTAAAAACCTGGTGGTCATACATAAATATCGGCATATATATGATCTGCTAAGCGAAAAAATGTACATACATTATAAATACCCTACTGTGTGAAAATCACATCTAGGGCCAGTGATAATTCACTCAACCATGTATATACATTCGGTGCAACTATAAAAACATAACATATACCTATAGACCTATGAGCCACAAGTACATGCTGAATATTAAAATAATAATAATAGTGATGATAAAATATTACCTAAAAACAAGAATATCATCATAATGGCAAATAGAAACCCATATAATTTTGATAAGGTAACATGAAATAAGTTCACTTTTGGGAACAATGACAAGAAATTCATACATAAATGTACATATAGAATGATATCTAAATAGTCCTAATTAGCTGTTATCGATAAAACTATTGATATCTAATTCTATATTAAGTCCCATGGGGCGCATACAGTCCATCTGGAATATCCATTTTGTTTCCATTTGTGAGACTGCTCTTTTTCTATTTATGCCCCTCCAATGGGCTTGTACTGTATCGATACCCACAAACTGTAGTGAAGATGGGTCCCTATTGTGATGGGTCCTGTAATGTAATGATAAAGAATGATCTTTAAAACCCTTTTTAATGTTGCTAACATGTTCACGGAGTCTGTCCTTCAATTTTCTGATGGTGCGCCCAATGTACTGTTTTTTGCACGGGCATTGCAAAAGATACACGACATATTTGCTATGACATGATATAAAGTTATTGATCTTAAATGTCCTGCCAGTACTGGTTGATGTAAAATTCTCCACCCTCTTTTTCCTTTTGAAATATTTAACTGCCTTCTCTTTATCTCGCTTTACTCTGTTTTCCTGATCTTTTGCATTTGAGAATTTATACTCTTCATAAAGGAAAATTGCACAAAAGCATACAAACTGGAAACCTGCTTACTGATTAGGCCTAATGACACTGTCATAGAACATACATTTTTACCTGTCTTTTTTCTTGCTCTGGTTTTGGAACAGCAATATCTGCTGCTTACCTGAAAGCCAGTTGATTAAATTATCTTTCAAAGCTTTTATTATTATCATAAGCCTGCATAACTGAATGTCAGTTATGGAAGTAATTTTTGCTGACTAAAGTTAAATGTGTTTGTGGTTAAGTGTAAACACTGCATCTTGGAAATCCTTTTATCCAGGTACCTGTTCCCCACATTGAAGAAGGTAAATCTGGACCAGATGACATGCAGAAAATACTGACGTTTCTGCATCAGCTGCAGGCAAGACAAGATGTCCTTGATTCAACAGTGGAATCCCTAAAGAGGTACAGTAGACTGCTTGTAGCGCAGCAGAGGAGTTGTAGCGCATTGAAGTTTACAGTGCATATTCTCATAGCTAAATATCCAGTAGACATCCCTGAAACGGGCTTGATTGACTTTGAAACAATTAGTATTGTTTTAGCTCTTAAAGGATTTTGAATAATCCTTTAAAGTCAAAGCATTTTTTTAACCTCCCTAAAAATAATGTTTTTCCTGTTTTAACTCAGGGAAAATGAGGCCTTGTGGAAAGAGGTTATACAGTTACGGCCAGCTCAGCCGCAATTTGAACCTGTGAGTACTGTGTACCATGTGTGTCTATTTACTATATGAATTTATGTATGTATATATACTTATTTTTTACTCCAGGATGGTTCTGGTACCTGAAATCTGATGCTGTACCATTTGTCGGACCTTATGCTGATATGTGCTGTCCCCATTACAGTGAAGGAAATAAGTATTTGATCCCCTGCTGATTTTGAATGTTTTCCCTCTCACAAAGAAATGATCAGTCTAAAAATCGAAAGGTAGGTGTATTGTAACACAGACAGAATAGCAACAAAAAATTCAAAAGAAATGCATGTCTAACAAATTATGCACTGATTAGCATATCTATGATGAAATAAGTATTTGATCCCCTATCATTCAGCAGGATTTCTGGCTACCAGGTGTCTTTCATACATGTAACAAGCTGAGATTAGAAGCAGTCTCTTAAAGACACCTGTCTACAGGAGCAATCAAACAGTCAGATTCCAAACTCTCCACCATGGCAAGGACCAAAGAGCTGTCCAAGGATGTCAGGGACAAGATTGTAGACCTACACAAGGCTGGACTGGGCTACCAAACTATTGCCAAGCAGCTTGGTGAGAAGGTGACAATAGTTGGTGCAATCATTCGCAAATGAAAGAAAACACAAAACAACTGTCAGTCTCCCTAGATCTGGTGCACCATTCAAGATCTCACCTCGTGGAGTGTCAATGATCATGAGAACAGTGAGGAATCATCCCAGAACTTCAAGTGAGGATCTTGTCAATGATCTCCAGGCAGCTGGGACCACAGTCGCCAAGAAAACAATTGGTAACACACTACGCCGACAAGGATTGAAATCCTGCAGTGCCCGCAAGGTCCCTCTGCTCAAGAAAGCACATGCCCAGGCCCGACTGAATTTTGCCACTGAACATCTGAATGATGCAGAGGAGGACTGGTTGAAAGTGTTGTGGTCAGATGAGACCAAAATTGAGCTCTGTGGCATCAACTCAACTCGCCGTGTTTGGAGGAGGAGGGGGAATGCTGCCTATGACTCCAAGAACAACATTGCATCTGTCAAACATGGTGGTGGAAACATTCTTCTTTGGGGGTGTTTTTCTGCTAAGGGGACAGGACAACTGCACCGCATCAAAAGGGACGATGGATGGGGTAATGTACCGTCAAATCTTGGGTGAGAACCTTCTTCCTCTCAGCCAGGGCATTGAAAATGGGTCATGGATGGGTGTTCCAGCATGACAATGACCCAAAACACACGGCCAAGGCAACAAAAGAATGGCTCAAGAATAAGCACATTAAGGTCCTGGAGTGGCCTAGCCAGTCTCCAGACCTTAATCTGATTGAAAATCTCTGGAGGGAGCTGAAAGTTCGAGTTGCCAAACATCAGCCACCAAACCTTAATGACTGGGAGAAGATCTGCCAAGAGGAGTGGGACAAAATCCCTCCTGAGATGTGTGCAAACCTGGTGGCCAACTACAGGAAACGTCTGACCTCTGTGATTGCCAACAAGTGATTTGCCACCAAGTACTAAGTCATGTTTTGTGAAGGGGATCAAATACTTATTTCCCTCATGAACATGCAAATCGGTGCATAATTTGTTAGACATGCATTTCTTTTGAATTTTTTGTTGCTATTCTGTGCCTCAGTGTTACAATACACCTACCATTCGATTTTTAGACTGATCATTTCTTTGTGAGTGGGCAAACATTCAAAATCAGCAGGGGATCAAATACTTATTTCCTTCACTGTATGTGCAATAGCCAGGGGCCGTAGTGCTGCAAGGTAGGAGTGCTAACCAGTAAGCCATTGCGTGAACCCACATATTTCATATGTGAGCTTTTTTTTAAATATTTATTTTTTAAATGTTTTTTTCTTGGAATTATATTTGTGACGTGCACTTCACTTATGTACAATTGTAAATGCTATAGTTAAAGTAGGATCAATAGTTTCATTCAGGTATACCTGTACACCTGTTCTCAGCAGTTGTTGATTTGTGTAACACTATACATTTTTTTTCTTAAAGTCAGTCATGGAAAAATTGTTTTTATTCTTGCTTGATAATGAAAATCACATAGAAATTTGTTGTCCTATTGCCACAAAAAAGTCCCTAGATCAGTACATTTTTTCAGCTGTATTGTGCTTGATGGTGATCTATTAGCAAGAGACTAGATTTAAAAATGTCTAAAATCTGTGCTTTGTAATATTGCTTGCTAAAGAAAATCTGGTGAAAGATCATGAATTATTGCTCAACTGTATTGAATCATTTAAATTAATATATCTTATATGTGCATACTTGATTTTATAGGTCGGAACATCTCACTCTTATGAACAAATAGGATCTTTTCAATCAAACCAGTAAGTACTGTTTCCATTTACTAAAAATAAAATTTCAATATAAAATAGAGTTTATAGGCCTTACTGTCATGATAAATGCTGTTTTAATAAAACAAATAGTAATGATGCTCTGTGAAATTGGCCATTTTGGTCACAAGAAGCTATGACTTTCTGCGGGAAAATGTTACAACTGTGTATGCATGTTGATTTATAGCACACAAAATGAGAACTTTAAAAAATAATAATAATAATTTGCATTGTGTAGGCCTCTCATGATTGACAGTACAGGCAACTACAATCAGTTATCTGCTTCCAAAACATCACAAACCTCCATTCAGGTAAGTTTTTTTTTTTTTGTTTTTTTGTTTTTTTGGGTTTGGGTTTTTTTTTTTTCCTGCTTCATTTTACTATTATTAAATAGTGAAAATGGTCATATTCTTTTATATCTTTGTTCATTGTTTATACCTGTAAAAAGAAGCATATCTTGCTGCCTGTGCCACTGAATGGTGCTGTGATGCAGAGGAATTGCCTCCCAAAGTCTTTTCAGAAAAGGTCACTTTGGGAGTGTTGTGTTTGCTCCTCCAATGCGTACAGAGCACAGTAATGATGTGCAAGTTGGAGGAAGGAAGGCCAGAATGCACTGGGGGACCGGGCATACCACATTGCTGGAGTGTCTGTTTTTGAACAGACTTTGGAAAACAACTCTTCTTCTGCCTTAGAACAGTGCTTGGCATGTATGCTTTCTTTTTTGCACGTATATTTTTGGTTAAAACATTTTTGTCACATTCACTTTAATAGCCATAATACCTGCATTTGAGTAGTGATATGATTTTCTCACATACATGTGTAAACCAGAATTTATTTAATGTATTATCATTGTCAAGATTTTTTTTTCTAAAGCTGCTGGTTTAAATGGTGTGTGTGTGTGTGTATCTATACCCCTGCCTGTAGCACATGCCCCAATTTTATGTTCTAAACTGAGCGATAGGCACACAGCAGAATACTTATTTTGAAAACGTCATTTTTTCACTTGTACTAGCAAATTATTAAGTATACTGTTTGGCAATAGCAAAAAACACACACTGGTAGTCAAGACTTGCTGCTGAGCAATGTAGCCTTTTGTTCTTCTCACGTCGACATTGGGCATTTACCACTTCCAGACCGGACACTTTTACCCCCTTCCTGACCAGGGCAATTTTCAGCTTTCAGCGCTATCACACTTTGAATGACAATTGCGCAGTCATGCAACACTGTACCCAAATTCATTTTTTACCATTTTTTTGAGACAGATAAAGCTTTATTTTGGTGGTATTTATTCACTGCTGGGATTTTTATTTTTTTTGCTATGTAAATGAAAAAGTCCAAAAATTTTGAACAAAAGTTTTTTTTATAAAATTTTGCAAATAAATATTTTATCATAAATCTTTGCCAAAATGTATTCCGTTATCTTTTTAGTAAAAAAAAAAAACAAATTAGTTTATAACCAAAAATTATAATTTTTAAACATTTTTTTTACATTTTTTTTTTTTTTTTACATACTGTCACCCTAGCAGTATGGTGACACTGTACTACTTGTGGGGGGGTGATGAAATTTTTTTTTCCTTTTTTTTACAATGATTGCTTTTACACCCATATAGGATGTAAAAGCAATCATTTCTCTTTCTCTCTGTGTGCATTCCTGCACTCATTGAGAAGTACTGAGTGAGATGTGATTGGTCACAGCTTGTCACATGGTATAAGGCTGTTGTGAATAGCCTTGTACCATGTGACCTCTGTGATCATTCACAGATTTCACATGTAGTAAGCAATGATGTCACAAGTGACATCTTGCTTACTACTTTGCATGTGATCACTGATTGGCCAATCAGTGATCACATGATCGGGACCTCGTACAGAGGTCCCGTCCGACGATCGGTGTTTCACTGTGTCCGGAGGACACAGCGGGCACCGGATCGCGGTGCTGCGCGCTCCCAGGGTGCGGGGAGGCCGTTCATAAACGGCCACCCGACCCTGTACTGCCACCGTCCGGCCGTTTATATGCAACGGCCGGTCGGGAAGTGGTTAATAAACAAGGTGAGAAGGTTCTACTCCTGCGAAGTCCGTTCACTTTGTTTGATCGTGCTTGATATCTGTATAAGATAACTCATCCATCTGAAAAGTATATTTTTCTCTTGTGGAAGAATGTATGTTTGTGGTAAGTGTGTGAGCACAAATCAGGATATTAACTGTTTTGAATATTGTCTGTACATCTGGTAAACTTTAATTACAGCTTCCCTACAGAGAGAGTTGAGTGGTGGCATTGCTCTTACCTGCTTTCAAACGTGGGGGAGATGTGTAGGCAGCTTACAGGAGGAGAGCAGGGAGCAAACATCAGCAGTGTAATGCTTTTTCACAGGGAGTCAAAATACACTTGCAAAGCTGTATTAACGATAGTTTGCGTCAGCATGCTAACTATGCAGTTCAGCAGCAGTCAAGAATCACAAAAGTGGCCGAATAGGGTTACAAATATTTTGTCAGGCTAATCAGGTTAAAGATGGATTTTAGAGGCTGCTGCAGGAATGTGCGGGCATATAGTGGAGTTATATTTGTGATCTGTGACCCTGTTGATTTTTCCTCCCTTGTTTTTGATACAGCACCTTATTATTATCTGTCCATTGGGGTCACAGGCTTTAACAAAACACTTTTGTCAATTACCAAAATATATAAAGTCAGCAGCGCTTCTTACTAATGTAAAAATAAGCAGCTTGCAAATACAGGTAAAAATATACACCACCCTTCACGTGAATGCTAAATTAAAATTGCAGCGCTATAAGGTCACAATAATAGTCCAAGAATGACAGCCCCATCAACTTGGCATATCAAAATTCATTCGTAGTCCCTCTGTGCAATATGTGTTATACTCTATTTCAAAAATCAGACTATCCACCACTGAAAAATCAAAAGAAATGCCAACTCACCACCAATATATGCTGACCTGATATAAAGTGCAGCGTCAGCGTTTTAATTAATCATCACAAGACTATCTATCTGCTTGTGAGGCTCTTGGGGGACCGATTTGCTCCTTCCTCCTTTGCAGTATAAGACTTTGTATCGATGTGATACCAAAAACAAAGCTATATAGTGTAGTACTCTTATTTTTAATATAATTCAACACCCGTGCATAGGTAACACTCCGTGATACAGTGCATATACTAACCTGCACCACAGACATAAAATGTGTGCTCACCACCAATGTGTGCTGCCCATGAGGTGTGCAGCAGATGATGCATCATGATTAATTGGAGCACTGATATCAGTCTTCTCTCCCACCAACTATAATCACATTTCCATAGGGGGCACTGTTCAACTCTCGCCATCAAACACCACCGCAACGCAACCAAAATAAAGCGCCATATACTGTAGTATTTATTATGAACCAAACAAGTAGCAGCACAGTGAAGTCACATAAAATCAATAATAAAAGCATCTGCTCTGACTTACATCTCACACCGCCACTCCAGGAACCAATGTGGAGGTGCAATACACCAAACTCGCCTTTTTAAATACATCCAGTGCGCTTCTCACAAATGTGCTTCCTTGGGGGTCTCTAGCACCCCTTAGTGGCCAACCTGTATATGTAGCCTACTCACAGAACTCTGATTAGTGCCACTTCCGGTCTGGCATTAAAAAAAAAAAAAAAAACTTTTGTCAGTTAAACTGGGAAAGGTTAGAACCCCTATCAGAGTATGATTAACAACTGCTTCTCTTAGCCCTATTCCTGTGACAATAGGACATGAAATGAAGTGAAAGATCCCTAACACTGTCATGAACTACAATAAAAACGTGGCAAAAGTTTTTACTATTTCAAGTTTATCAAAACTGTTATCCAAAAGGGTTGGCTTGTTGAAACTTAAGCCGGCCATAGATGGATTTAATCTTGGCCGGTTCAGCAGGGAAAGTAAAGTTATTTGTTCTGTCAATTGTTTTGTTTGTTTTTCAGTCTGCCGCACTTTGTAACAATACAGTTAAATGTCCTTTAATTATGTGCTTAAATCTATATTTTGTGTGTAAAATATTAAACATATAATTTGCTATGCGAGATGCTTGTTGTGACCACATGTTACATCATTCTAATGTAACCCTCTGCACACTGTTATACAACCTTACTTGCATCCAGCAAACCTCTGCATAAAAATAGGGATTTTTGGTTCATATATTGTAATTCATGTTTAACCTGGCCCACCACTGAGTCAGTGATTTCTCTGTCCTGTCCTGAGAATGTTTGTTTATCATGTACAATGTGCAGGCTTTTGAGAGCAGATCGCCATGGTTCACTGAACAGAAACCTAACAGAGGCACCAAAAGAGTCATCAGAGAAGAGCATGATAGCTCTGTGGAGGAGCCCAACAATCATCTGAAAACTTCTTTGTAAGGACATTTGCTTTGTGTTATGAAAACATAAAACTCGTGAAATAAGATTTTGCATTCTGTTTCTAGTAGCAGATATAATATTTTCTTCTCAGAAGCTGCAATTCTCATGGAATTTTATAACACTACATGACTATACACGGTGTTCCAAATTATTATGCAAATTATATTTTTCTCATTTACCTAAATAATTGATGTAAATAACAGTCAGCATAATTCTCATGTTATCAACTATGAAGAGTACAATTCACATTTTATTGAACAAACCTCCTAATGATAACAGTATTTTTGTTAAACATTAAACACTTACAATGCACTGTTCCAAATTATTACGCACCGTAAGTTTCAAAACACTTTATAGGTTGTAAAGAACTGAAAATTGTCATTTGTTGTGTTTGCAGCATATTTACTGAAATCAAAAGCTATTTCAATCAAACTTTTAACAACATTTTAACTTTTTAAACATTTTAAACCGGTCACGATACATTTTAACATAGGACCCCTTATTTGATAGCAGCTTCACAAGTCTTGCATCCATCGAACTTGTGAGTTTTTAGACAGTTTCTGCTTGAATTTGTTTGCAAGATGTCAGAATAGCCTCCCAGAGCTGCTGTTTGGATGTAAACTGCCTCCCACCCTCATAGATCTTTTGCTTGAGGATGCTCCAAAGGTTCTCAATAGGATTGAGGTCAGGGGAGGATGGAGGCCACACCATGACTTTCTCTCCTTTTATCCCCATAGCAGCCATTGATGCAGAGGTATTCTTTGCAGCATGAGATGGTGCATTGCCATGCATGAAGATGATTTTATTACGGAAAGCATAGTTCTTCCTTCTGTACCAGGGAAGAAAGTGGTCAGTCATAAACTCCACATACTTTGCAGAGGTCATCTTTACACCTTCGGGGGCTCTAAAGGGGCCGATCTGCTCTGTTCCCATGATTCCGGCCCAAAACATGACTCCACTACTGCCTTGCTGATGTCTCAGCCTTGTTGGAACAGGGTGGCCATCCACCAACCATCTACTACTCTATCCATCTGGACCATCCAGGGTTGCACGGCACTCATCAGTGAACAGGACTGTTTGAAAATTAGTCTTCATGTGTTTTTCTGCCCAATGCAGCGTTTCTGCTTGTGAGCATTGGTTAGTGGTGGCCGAATAGAAGGTTTATGCACAGTTACAAGACTCTGGAGGACTCTACACCTTGATGTCCGTGGGACTCCAGAGGCACCAGCAGCTTCAAATATCTATTTGCTGCTATGTAATGGTATTTTAGCAGCTGCTCTCTTGATCGATGCATGGATCTGTGCCTTTATCTGCATGAACCCGTCTGTGCTCTGAATCAGCCACAAATCTCTTAATAGTGCGATGATCACGCTTAAGTTTTCGTGAAATATCTAATGTTTTCATACCTCGTCGAAGGCATTGAACTATTTCACTCTTTTCGGCAGCAGAGAGATCCTTTTTCTTCCCCATATTGCTTGAAAATGGTGCTCTGCTTAATAATGTGGAACACCGTCCTTTAGTAGTTTTTCCTTAAATTGGGCTCACCGGCCAATCTAATTATTACAGGTGTCCGAGATTGCTTTCAGTGATCAAAAGAGCCCTGAGACACAATGCCATCCATGAGTTAAACTGAAAAACAAAATATTTCATCTTTGTGACACTTAAATAGAATTTGCATAATAATTTGGAACACGGTGTAGTTGTGTGATTGTATATGACCTATATTAGAGTGGTAATAAAGCCTACTTTGTGATTTTTACCTACAGGTAAGCTTATCATAAAGCTTACCTGTAGGTAAAATGAATCTCTTAAAACATGTACCGTTTAGTAGATATTCACTCTTTTTGGCAGCCAGTGCGTGAGCTCTGAAGGAACGGCATACCCCTGCATGTCCTTCAGAGCACTGTGCCGTGGCCTGTGACTCCCGTGCGCATGCGCGTGAGTGACATCATCATGACTTGGCCAGTCTGACGGCTGGAGCGCATGATCCCGGAAGAAAGACTAGGTGAAGATAAAAGCCCTGTCGGCGGTGACCTCTGGAGGTCTTTGTTCTAAGGTAAATATTTCATAATGTACTAGTATGCATACATACTAGTACATTATGCAGTTGCCTTGCAGGGGATTTTTTTTTTTTTTTTTTTTTTTTTAAAGCTGCGGTTTTCTACCACTTTAATGGATAAATGGCATATCATTTAAAATTCAGATGGTGGGTGCATTAGTTTCCTTCTTTTCCATACTCTTTTAGTTTATTTTCATGTATTGATCCTGCCATCACACTTCTGTCCTACGGTGACAAAGCTCAGTCTAAGGCCTCGTTCACACAGGACACTTTACTGCGGGCCCTGTGCTGGTTGGTGTTTTCGCAGCATAGGGGTGCAGTTATGTGCATCTCCATGCTGGCGTCCCATTCATTTATATTGGGACATGTGGCTGCACAGACATAGACCCTGTGTTCTAAAGTGACATGCAGTTGAGTGCAGGTGCATGTCCCTGAACACACCCTGTACTCATTCAGAAACCCGCATGCCATATTAAGACACGCACACAGTGCCTGTGCATCCCCATGCCAGGAAAACACTGACCCACAAGGCTCACAATGAAGTGCCCTACGTGAACAAGCCCTAGCTGTGGAGGAGCAGTGTTATGTTAAGGTATTCTCCTGAATAGACTGCAAACACCTTCCCCTCTCCACACCTGTGTTACATAGGAAAGAGGGGTCCTAAAGTTTACATAAGATAGCTGGGAAGGCTGATAAGATTGTTTGATAGTTTAATTCAGTGTCCAGGAAGTGCATAGGTTCGACCTGCACATTAATCATTCATCACTCAGATTTTTGTATCCGTGTGATTGTACATGTCGTGTGTTTTTTTTTTTTTTTTTTTTTTTTTTTAAATAAGTACAAAAGAAAATGCAAAAAACATGTTTGCAACACTGCATTTATTCTGAACACATGAGGAAAAACTCTGGTTTAAGTAAAAAAAAAAAGGGAGATATTAAAATGGGGAGTTTGTGAAAAAACTGTATATACTTCAGTAAACATACAGCGGGTAAAATAAGTATTGAACACGTCACCATATTTCTCGGTAAATCTATTTCTAAAGGTGCTATTGACATGAAATTTTCATCACATGTCAGTAACAACCCATGCAATCCATACATACATAGAAACAAACAAGTTCAGAAATTAAGTTGTGTAGCAAAATGGAATGAAACATGGAAAAAATATTGAACACGCTAACTGAAATTTATTTAATACTTCATACGAAATCCTTTGTTGGTAATGACAGCTTCAAGATACCTCCTGTATGGAGAAACTCGTCGCATGCATTGCTCAGGTGTGATTTTGGCCCTTTCTTCCAAACAGTCTTCAAATCTTGAAGGTTCTGTGGGCCTCTACTATGAACTCTGATCTTTAGTTCTTTCCATAGATTTTCTATTGGATTCAAGTCAGGTGATTGCCTGGGACATTCTAGCAGCCTTATTTTCTTTCTTTGAAACCAATTGAGAGTTTCCTTGGCTTTCTGTTTGGGATCATTGCCTTGCTGAAATGTCTACCCTCCTTTCATCTTCATCATCCTGGTAGATGGCAGCAGATTTTTATCAAGAATGTCTTGGTACATTTTTCCATTCACCCTTCCTTCAATGATATGAAGTTTGCCAGTACCGAAAACAAGCCCCACACCATGATGTTCCCACCTCCATGCGTCACTGTTGGTGTGGTGTTTTTTGGTGTGATGTGCAGTGCCATTTGACCTCCAAACATGGTGTGTATTATGGCATCTAAAGAGTTTGATTTTGGTCTCATCTGACCAGACTATATATTTTCCCAGTATTTCACAGGCTTGTCTAAATGTTGTGCACATACTTTAAACAAGCTTCAGCATGCTTTGGAGTCTTTGCAATGGAGTCTTGCGTGGTGAGTGTGCATACAGGCCATTGCGGTTGAGTGCATTACTTATTGTTTTCTTAGAAACAATTGTACCAGCTAATTCCAGATATTTCTAAAGCGCTCCACAATTGGCCCTTGGCTCTTGGACAACTCTTCTGATAATTCTTTTCACTCCTCTGTCAGTAATCTTGCGAGGAGCACTTGGTCATGGCCAGTTTATGGTGAAATGATGTTTTTTACACTTCCAGATTATGACCCCAACAATGCTCACTGGAACATTCAAAAGTTTAGAAACCCTTCTGTAACGAATGCCATCAGTATGTTTTGCAACAATAAGGTTTTGAAGGTCTTGAGAGAGCCCTTTGCTTTTATCCATCATGCGTTTCTTGTGTGACACCTTGATAATGAGACACCTTTTATAGGCCGTCAGTTGAGACTGAACCAGCTGATATTAATTTGCACTGACAAGTGGCAGGATTGCTTTCTAATTACTGATAGATACTGGTGTCTCTTTATGTGCCTCCCTTTCTTCACGTGTTCAATAATTTTTCCCGTGTTATTCCATTTTATTACACATACCTTAATTTCTGAACTTGTCTGTTTTGGTTTCTTTGTATGTATGGATTGCATGGGTTGCTACCAATGTGTGGTGAAAATTTTCATGTCAATGGCACCTTTAGAAATATGTTTACCTAGAAAAATGGTGACGTGTTCAATACTTATTTTACCCGCTGTATTTATCTGCCTTTTTACCACTAGAGAGCAGAGCATAGTGCTTAAACGCAGGTTATTTAGGCATTTTGATGTATTGAGCTGTCTGTGATTCCAGAAATCAGGGGTACGAAAATTACAACACAGACGAATCTGATGATCCCTCAGATTTATCCTCTTATGAAAGCGAGCTGGTGATTAATGAAGATACTGCCTCGAACATTGACCAGTCATTTACAAATGCAGATGAAATGTAAGTAATAACCCCAAAAATTTGGAACCAGTTTTTATTCAGTGACCATAATTAAGTGACAGCACAGCATATACACTATTGCACTGTACTACAAAAGACAATTTCTGTGAAAAACAAAAGCCCGCTATTTTTTTAAAATTAATTTTTGCTTGGAAATGCCTTGAATACCCATTTTCTCTTAGTGAAAATGTGTTTCCTGTCCTCTGATTGCAGTGCTCTATGCTTCCATTGAGTAGCAGCCACATGCCTAATTACAAGCATCACTTGGCAAGAAAGTGAGGGGGTATTTAGGTAGTTCAGCTCTTATGCCTGTTTATTCCCTAAGGACCACATCAATTTCATATTTATTCTATGGGCCTGTTCTTATTAAGTAACAACTTTGTCATGATTTTAGATAACAAAGTATTACATATTTGGCCTTTTTAGGGTCAAAGAAGCCTTTCTTTTGGTGATAGCTAGCAAAAATTATTTTATATTGCAATCCATGTAGACGACAAACGTAACAAAACTAGTAAAAGCACTCTTTTCTACATTTGATAAGTTTTCGTTGTTAAAATTTATTTAACCACTTGCCTACTGGGCACTTATACTCCCTTCCTGCCCAGGCCAATTTTCACCTTTAAGCGCTGTCGCACTTTGAATGATAATTGCGTGGTCATGCAACATTGTACCCATATGAAATTTTTATCACTTTTTTCATACAAATAGAGCTTTCTTTTGGTGGTATTTACTCGCTGGTCGGTGTTCTATTTTTTGCGCTATAAACAAAAAAATAGCAAAAAAATGTGAAATAAAAAGTTTTTCTTTGTTTTCTATTATAAAATTTTGCAAACAGGTAATTTTTCTCCTTCATTGATGTGCGTTGAGGCTGCACTGATAGGCGGTATTGATAGGTGGCACTGATGGGCACTGGTAGACAGCACTGATGATGCTGCACTGATGGGGGGCACGGATGGGTGGCACTGATGGGCACTTGTGGGCGGCACTGCTAAGCACTGATCATCAGTGCTCTGATGATCGGTGCCGATCCGTCCTCTGACAATTGCTGGTTATTGGCAGTACTTTCCTCATGCTGTGACAGCGTAAGAAAAGTGCAGCCAATAACCGGCACCTGCATTTACTGGTGATCTGCTGTGTCATTGGACACAGCTGATCACGTGGTAAAAGGCTGCTGTGATTGGCCTTTTACCACATCACATCCATAGGACATAACGATCACGGAGATCGCCGAGGCGCATTCTGGGAGGACGTCATATGATGCCCTCCCAGGACTGGACAACCGCGCTGTAGCCATTAGGCTATAGCGCGGTTGGCAAGTGGTTAAATGTAGGTAATCTCATTTATAATTGTCCATTTTAAAATTACACTAAAATTGGGATTCTGGTACAAAGCATTGAAAAGTTATTTACAAATGAAATCAAGACTTTATCTTTACCGTACGTAGCACAGGAATCGATTCATAGACCATGGATTATATGCTGCTACCTTCAGGTGAATGGACACTCACAAAAGCGTAACTGCCCCCAAGTGTCCCTATAGAAACGCACCCATCTGTGAGGCTCCAGTTTTTTGCTATTTTCATTGGCTGATGGATGCCTTCTCCTCTTTGATAAGAATTTTCTACTGTTTTCACCAGATTTAGTTTACCTTCTTTGACTGGCACCTTTTTCAAGATCTTACTGCTTGCTGCTTTCATGGCTTATTAGCAGTTTCAGGATCAGTTACCTTTGAGTACATTTTGGGAACTGTACCCAGACTCCTCAGCAGTGGGCCTGGCCTCTGTTTCCTTCAGGCACTGGATTCTCCATTGGGCACTCACCTTGGCACGTGGTGCAACAAGTGTAGTTAGCCGAGGGTCAAGGTACATTCCTATGGCAGCCAGACCCTAAAGACCCCTTTGGTGGAGTTAACCATGAACTCTAAATGGGACCAATGGCATGGACAAGGTAAGACAGGGTTTCCCTATACTCTTATACATACCAGTTTCTGGCTTTTTCATGTCTTGATGGATCTGTAGCATACACTGCATCCTTATTCTACAAGATCTACTGCAGTGCCAAACACACGCTTACCTTTTTAAATTTGGCATTTTGCTATCGGATATACCTCTCTGGGTGGTGACACAGTGCTTAGACTCCTAACTGCACACTTTTGGATGTCATTTTCTGGAGACAATGCAAGCTGATTGCTTGCCATTTCAGCTGTTGCCGGATTCATGAGAGACGTAGCCATCAGAACTCCTGTTGCGCTGGTTTACTGCATTTCTCTCATACTGGATACCTTGAACCCTCTTAATCTACATTCAGCCCATGTGTACCATGCAAGGGTAGACTTTCATTTTGCAGTGGGGGATTACAGGTGTTTGGAAGTGGGAGCATGTGGCACAGACAGTGGCATCCACCACAGGCCATGAGGAGACTCCCAAGTTCCTCAAGTGTTTTGGAGCAAGTCTAACCCTGAAACCACTCCAGTACTCAGGCTCTTACAGATGCACATCAGACATACTTTCTTACTAAGGCAGAGTTTACTGCCACTACGTTTTGACCTAATCCAGAGCCTAGCTCAACTTCTGTAATTGTTGGCTGCGATCAGTCATAACCACTATTCTGCTACTTCTCCCCCTATAAACATGGATCAAAACCAGAATTAGCACATTTTCTATGGCAGAAAACAAAAGGGCTGACATTTTTTCAGAGGTTGCTTAAGACTTTTCATCACCATTATTTAGGGAAGTGACACCCCTCACTTCTTGCCATATGCTGTATCCTGTGAATCTGTTAATTGAGGTGGTGTGAACCAGTCTCTGGATAGATACTGCTAATGATGCACAGCTTCCAGATGTTCTACAATGCACAAAAATGAGGGACTTTTGTAGAAAATCTATTTCTACACTGGATCAGGCAAGTTGGGCCTTATACAATGTTTGGCCAAATTCAGAGGCATTTTCCCCTCCTGACAACATTTAAAGCTTGTTATCTTCTAGATGAAAAATTGAAAAAGAAATGGTATGTCCCCATTAGGGTCTCAGACCGTTCTTGCACTGAATGTCCAGTCTACTGTACTCCCTCCTTCAAATATTCAGAATTTAGGTGTTTGGACACGCTTTTGAAGTCCTCCATTGCTTTGGCAGGTTCTGCCATACATTTGACCATAGCCACTTTATACATTGCCAGATCATGACTAAGTGGGCTGAAAGAAAGTAATAGTAAGCTTTCTCCTGCTATAGATAATTCTAATCTTTCTTCAAGATAACAGTTCTTGCCCTTGGCCCTACTTGTCTGTGTAGACACCATGGAAAACGCCATCTGTCAGATCTCCAGAATGTCCCTACTTTCTGTGTATATGCAGAATCTTATGGCTTAAAGTTTGGGTAACAGACTCAGTTTGGTAAGAGGTGCGTGTGCCCTTAGATGGCGAATGTCTTTTTGTTAACTCCCTTTGGCCATTACATTGATGTAGCCACAGAGAGGAGGGGTTCCTACCTCATTATCCACAATCACAATTCCCTATGGTATGGACATCCCCTACCTTATGTTTATAATCTATTCACCCTCTTCAGGTTTCACCATTTATTGCAGGTCCTTTGGTCGCAGTAGACCTTCCACTTCAAAGCCCACTGGACCTACTAAAAATCTTACATGTTGAATGTTCGCCTCTATTTCTGGAGACAAATGGGTGGCCAGACGTCTTGAACTTTCTTTCATTCTGCTTTCTAGAGAGATACATAATGAATTTTATTGCTGGGGACGTACCAGGGTCTATAAAACTGATTCCTGTGTCATATATTATATGATAAAATTAATAGGAGTCGACATACATGTAAATTCCATATCATGAAGGATGGGAATCTGCATATTTGAAAAATCTTGCACATGCGCAGAAATAAGTTTGTGTGTGATAAGTTCCCTATTATCTTGTGAGATTTACTGAATTCTTGTAAGAGTTTACTGCTTTGAAACAAGATCTTTCAGGAGGTTGTCCATCCCTTGTGGTAGCAATAAAAGTGATATGAAAAAAAATAAGAATGAGACCGTGTAAAAAAAATTAATGAAAAAAAAAATTTAGAATAAAAATGTACAGCTCCCCCCCACTCCCCTGTGCTTGCACACAAAGGCGAACTCATATGTAAGTCCTGCAAGCATATGTAAGCAGTGTTCGCACCACACGAGGTTTCACTACAAACGTTACAGGGAGAGCAATATTTCTAGCACCAAACCTCCTGTGTAACTCTAAACTGGTAACTTGGAAAGGCTTTTAAAGAGTCACCTATGGAGATTTTTAAGTACTGTAGTTCTACGCGCTTGCGCAATTTCAAACATGACATGTTAGGTATTTGTTTACTCAGCGTAACATCCTTTTATATTTACCAGTTGGGTATTATATTGTGTTTTTGTGTAAATAAAATTCAAGTATTTTTTTCTTAAAAAGATTGTTTGAAAGACCACTGCACAATTACCGTGTGACATAAAAAATTGCAACACCCACTATTTTATTCTGTAGGGCCTCTGCTTAAATTTTCTTGCAACAAATGTAGATATTTACATGTATGAGTGAAGTATCAGTATTGGCCCAATTATTGAAGTGGTTAAATTCACTTTGTGTTGATTGTGAATCACTACCCTTGCTAGAAGTCTGTTCTTAGCACCACCCATTCTTTCAGTAAAATAATACTTTTAAAGGTTGATTTTGAACTTTTTTTTTTATTATTAGTCCTCTTGATCTTGGCTTCATATTGAAATCACTGCCCAGGAGGCAGAACTTTGATCACACGCAAACCAATTCATCTGCTTCTAAGAACCCTGAAAGTGAACCTTTACTGTTGGAACCAATATGGTCCTGCAGCTTATTTTTGTTAGTGTCATTTACTCCTGACAAGACTGATGTAATTGTTTAGGTGGTTTGCTACATGCAGGTCTCCCTCAACACAAGTACTGTACGCAATTTAAATTTTTGTTATCAAATGGTATCTTTTCTTTCTGTCACCATTCAGTGCTACAGGAAGTCTTTCACCTTTGGGTTATACTGACAACCTACATGTAGATAGAATACAGGCAAACAAAAAAATTGTAGGCCAGCCCAGGGCCCAGGATAACCTCTCCAACTACCAGCAAGCTTCATTTTTCATTATCGTACATCACGGGACACAGAAAAGGTCATAATGACTGTGGGTTATATGCTACCTATAGGTGAATGGACACTGAGTGACCAATCAGAGAGGAAGTTCTCCCCTATATAACCCCTCCTACACATGAAATGATTGTTTTTTTTTCACCAGTGTCTGTAGGGTGGCTGGTCACTAAAGTGTTGCATGTGCTCTTGGAGCATACCTGGAAGGTCCAGAACAGTTTCATTGTAGAATCAGGGACTTTAATCGGATCCGTTTGGAAAGTTGTTAACCAAAATGGATGGTACCTGAGCCTTGCTGGATAAGGAGAAGCTGAGGCATGTTGGTAGTGGGAAGGGTTATTCTGGACTGGCACATGTTATTTGTTTGCTAGTGTCCAATCCTCATATCGGTGGCAGCATTACCCCACAGTAAAAAAACTTCCTGCATCCCTTAATAGACTCCCAAAAAGTTTTGAGTATAAAAACCCTATTTTTTTTGTTTTATATACACTGTTTCCTTGCATATCGATATGCTGATTTTCATCTGCTTTTAATATTCAAATTGCTTTTGTAATGAAGCATAATGGTTGCTATATAGCACAGTGCTTCAAAAACAAAGTGTATGAAAATTGTTTACATACAAATGTTGAAAAAGCAATCTTTGGGGTTAACTAAGTTTTAATAATTGGTTAAACAGAAACAAAAGACCAACTTTGTTCATCTGTAAAAGTAAAATGGAGCTCCAGTAGGTTATACCAGGAGAATCTCTATCCCTCTTTAATCTGCAGGTCTCTGATGCACAGAACAGGACCAGCTGTCATAGAAAGGTCTAGTTTACGGTGTTGGCAGCCCTTGCTGCCCCCTCTGAAATGCAATCTGTAGAGGATCACGTTTCAGAGAGCTGGGAGGTGATTTGTTGCCCCTACACCACCTGTTTTACTATGAAAAGCCTGCACCACTGCACTACAACCAAGAATCACGTGTGAATGAGCCCCAACAGCGGAGCCCTGCAGGTTAAACCAATCCAGTCCACCGATGCTTACCTGCAAGCCATCAGTTTGACAGTTGAGTCACCTGTATGAAATGGAGCTTTATGCTGACAGGGTTTCCGATGTTTGTAAAGGCTAAGCTTAAACTGCTTCCCCAGATTTTACTGTTTACTTTCCAAACCTACTTGATATATTACAGAATGAAATTACGAAAAAATCTTTATACTAAAACAACTATATTTGTGTTTAACATATTTTGCTGAATTTATAACATCATTATTATGATTTGGTTAAATATTTATACAGCTCAGTGACAAATCACAGAAAACCAGCATCACACAAGAGGCTGAAAAACTGTATAGAAAGACAAGATTCCGTAAGTACTAAGAATTGACAAAATACCTAAATAATGTATATGATGGTAATTAAGACAAAGTAGTTAAATGTATGATCAATAGAACTGTATACAAATTTTGCATTGTAAGAAAAAAAAAAGTTTCAAAGATTTCAAATGAACATTTTGTCTTCTAGTGCTCATGCATTAAACATTTTTAAACCTCTACGGTGCATGCTGATGCTCTTTAGGCTGCATATGTTGCATTTTTTACCTCTGTTTGAGACGTTTCTGAGATTTTTCAGAATTTATTGCAGGTGCATTTGATCTGTAGTTGACTTCTTCCTGGCCTACATTTAACCTGCTTTAGGCTGCTTTATCATTCCCATAGACTTGTAGAGGAAAAAAAGCAGTTTTGATGCAAACAAAAGCCTGCGGACACAGACCCTGTCTCAGCCACTATTTCCCTAACAAGATCATTTCAGTGTAGTAACAAATAAACTTTAAGTCTCTTGTTCCTATCCAAAATATAAACTACAATCCTCTGTTTTGAACCTTCAGCAATAGTGTAGAAGCAAACATGTCAGAGAATTAGCAAGTGCTCAAAAAAAGAGGGCACCCACTTCAGAAAATTGATATTTCAAAGTCATTTGTTCTATATTTGGGATTAGAGCAAGAGATGGAAGTGGTGGACCTAACATTAAGCGTAAAAACAGCTTTGTTATTGAGGATGGACAAATTGACAATATTGTCAAAATTATTAATTTATATTAAAGGGTATTAGCCCTGAGATCCTGAAACTCTTATTCCAATAAAAATTTAAACTGTGTTCTCAAATGCATCAAATAAGCAAACAAATAAAAAAAAAATATAGATAAATGTGTATAAATAAATTGTCCGTGTAATACAATACAACCAACGTGATAAAAAATACAGTACCTCACCGAAGTGAGTACACCCCTCACATTTTTGTAAATATTTTTTTATATCTTTTCATATGACAACACTGAAGAAATTACACTTTACACTTTACTACAATGTAAAGTAGTGATTGTACAGCTTGTATAACAGTGTAAATTTGCTGTCCCGTGAAAATAACTCAACACACAGCCATTAATGTCTAAACCGCTGGCAACAAAAGTGAGTACACCCCTAAGTAAAAATGTCCAAATTGAGCCCAATTAGCCATTTTCCCTCCCCGGTGTAATGTGACTCGTTAGTGTTACAAGGTCTCAGGTGTGAATGGAGAGCAGGTGTGTTAAATTTGGTGTTATCGCTCTCACTCTCTCATACTGGTCACTGGAAGTTCAACATGGCACCTCATGGCAAAGAACTCTGAGGATCTGAAAAAAAAGAATTGTTGCTCTACATAAAGATGGCCTGCGCTATAAGAAGATTGCCAAGACCCTGAAACTGAGCTGCAGCACGGTGGCCAAGACCATACAGCGGTTTAATAGGACAAGTTCCACTCAGAACAGGCCTCTCCATGGTGGACCAAAGAAGTTGAGTGCACATGCTCAGTGTCATATCCAGAGGTTGTCTTTGGGAAATACACATATGAATGCTGCCAGCATTGCTGCAGAGGTTGAAGGGGTGGGGGGTCAGCTTGTCAGTGCTCAGACCATATGTCGCACACTGCATCAAATTGTTCTGCATGGCTGTTGTCCCAGAAGGAAGCCTCTTCTAAAGATGATGCACAAGAAAGCCCGCAAACAGTTTGCTGAAGACAAGCAGACTAAGGACATTGATTACTGGAACCATGTCCTGTGGTGTGATTACACCAAGATAAACTTATTTGGTTCAGATGGTGTCAAGCGTGTGTGGCGGCAACCAGGTGAGGAGTACAAAGTCAAGTGTGTCTTTCCTACAGTCAAGCATGTTGGTGGGAGTGTCATGGTCTGGGGCTGCATGAGTGCTGCTGGCACCGGGGAGCTACAGTTCATTGAGGGAACCATGAATGTCAACATGTACTGTGACATACTGAAGCAGAGCATGATCCCCTTTCTTCGGAGACTAGGCCACAGGGCAGCATTCCAACATGACAACCCCCAAACACACCTCCAAGATTATCACTGCCTTGCTAAGGAAGCTGAGGGTAAAGGTGATGGACTGGCCAAGCATGTCTCCAGACCTAAAACCTATTGAGCATCTGTGGGGCATCCTTAAATGGAAGGTGGAGCAGTGCAAGGTCTCTTAACATCCACCAGCTCCATGATGTCATCATGGAGGAGTGGAAGAGGACTCCAGTGGGGCAACCTGTGAAGCTCTGGTGAACTCCATGCCCAAGAGGTTTAAGGCAGTGTTGGAAAATAATGGTGGTCACACAAAATATTGACACTTTGGGCCCAATTTTGACTTTGTTGTCAGCGATTTAGACATTAATGGCTGTGTGAGTTATTTTGAGGGGACAGCAAATTTACACTGTTATACAGTTAAAATGTGAGGGGTGTACTCACTTCTGTGAGGTACTGTATTTTTTATCACGTTGGTTGTATTGTATTACACGGACAATTTATTTATACACATCTATAATTTACAAAGATGTGAGGGTGTACTCCTGTAAGATACTGTATATAATGTTCTCAGTGATGTAAACAAAGGTTTAAAGGTGATACTATGCAATGGCACTACAAATCTGCCCTTCCTCTTCACCAACTATATGCATCCCTGTGCCTTCAAGAAGCTCGATGGTATACTAGATATTACACACAGACAGATCCCCATGGTGTAGTAGTTAGTTTAGTTTAATGAGAAAAACAAATATAAATGCACTTGCATTTTTATTATTTATTAAATACAATTTATTAAACACACAGGCATGAATTAGAAGTTGGAAATGCTGGTTTGCATTCCAATGAGCGGAAGTGACATCCTGGAAGCCCCGCCCATCCAGGGCTGATTGATACCCTTTTGAGATTTTTATATATATATCGTTGGGCTAAAAATCTGATGACAAACAGCTTTTTTCCTTTTATATTTAATGCTTTCATGTATTTATTTGTTTGTATTTGTTGCACAGATGTAGTGACACTGCATTACATATCTAGTTAAATAAACCATTTTGCTTGGTAATGCTAATTGTAGCACACCTTACCTATAGAAAAAGCTACAAAATGCTGGGGTATAAGGTGAGGTGAGTTACAGTTGGCATTGCCAAGTAGAAAAGTTTATTTAAATTGATAAATATAACAAATATTTTATACATATGCAAATATTAAATACAGCCTATATATATGTGTTTTTGTCCTTTAAAAAAATTCTAGACAATAAAGCGCAGAATTGTATACAGTGGCTCAGAGAATGAAGATGAACAAAAGAGTTGTCATATGGACTCAGGTATCTTTCTGTTGTATACACGGTCTTCTAAGACATGTACATTATGTTTGCTGATTCTTCAGTCATGGGGAAAAAAAAACGACACATGACACTGTCTGTCACTATCATCAACATAGCAGTTTTTTTTTTTCTCTGTCCTTAGTAGTAACCTCCAAAAAGGTGACAGTGCTATTTATCCTGCAGTAAACTTGCACTGTAGCAATAGTACGCTGCACATAAAACTATTCTGATAGTTCTCTCGCATTCCACCCAGTCTCCTAACAGCTGTACTCACATTGGTTTTGGACACCCAGGGACATATGCCAGAGACTGACTCATTTTGTCATCAAGACACCTGACATTTTTAACCCTAAGCTTTTTAATAATGTTTCTGCACTATAAGGAGCTTCTCTTTTCTTCCTTGAGTAACATTCTTTCCAACAATATCCAACTTTGTATATGTGTGGCAGAAATAATTATACCCACTGTAATGAGATTTTCAAGCTTTGGAGGAGAAAATATGAGCAAGATATGACTTACCTGTATTGGTCAGTCATTTAGTTGTGGTGAGCTTCAATCCAAACAATGGTGGCTCTGGACACTTGGATTTGGTGTGGATATGCATGTATGGTAGAGTTCTTTGCAGAGGAAGAGATGTATTGACTTTGTGTACTCTATAGTTATTTATGTAGTTTTTAATTGATATCAATTTTATGTTTATGGTTTTGATTTATGTAGGGCATACAGCATTTTAAATAGGGTTTTTTCATACAGCATTGCTAAATTTACTAAATGTTTTACTTTTTTTTTTTTTTTTTTTCTAGTGGTATTATCACTTTTTGATTGATTAGGGTAAAACAATGAGGTTAAGCTACTGTAGCTGTAAAGGTAAAAGACTTTATCTACTCATGTATGGTTCATCTGTATTTTTCCTTTGAAAGCGCCAGTAGACAAGTCCATCAGATCATGCCAATCTTCTTGTTACAAGATGGACAAGATGCTTAAACAAATGCATCGGGATCACACTCGTCTAACTAAGAAGGTGCTAGCTGTGGAGCAACAGTCATTACAGAAACTTTCAGAAATATCAACAGCACTGAGCACGTTAAGCAGCTACATCATGAACACCAAGAATCCCCAAAGAGCTTCGTGTCCTCCTTTTCTCGATGCAGCAAAGATTCAGCAAAATGAAAGGCAGGGTTCCCAAAGTCATCACCATGGACTGTGGTCAGACAACTCTGCAAATCATTCCACTAAAAGAGAATATGAGTCTTAGCAACTCTTCATGTGAGTGCCTGCATAAGATCAGTTGCATCCATTATAGTTCTGTTGAATTTGTATTTGTATCTACTAGTAGTTATGTGAATGTACAGCAGACTACTTTCACTCAAACTCATGTTAAAAACCATAACATACTTTAAATAAATACTAGTAAATGTGTGTCAGCTGAATGGTAGACTATATAGAAGGAAAAAATGGAGTGCGTGAGAGTGCCAAAGATCAAAAATTATGGAATTTTAATGATAAGCAATTAAATGCTGTTCTATAATAAATCGATGCAAAATACATGGGTGTATTAGTTGGTGTGTGAATACTGTAAAGAAAAAATTGAAGAGTAATTGCCATAAATAAATGAACTATGATGGAAAAACAGAATGTGTGATATAATTGCATGTGCATAAAGATTCATCGGAGAGTTTCAGGATTTCTCCATTAGTTGAGGTTGAGATTCATGGGCCTGGACACGGAGGATGTCAGTGGACTTTGTGGTACTCGTCATTATTCAAAATAAGTATAGTGAATATAAGATGGTTTGCGGGATGGAATTTCAGTCCTAAGGAGGCAAGTGTTATTTCTAGAGATGATACAAAACAGACTAGAATTAGAACTGTGGATTAGAGAATTAAGGGCCAGGAGGACATTGGAGTAAAACTAAAGGGCCAATATGAGTCCCCTAATGCTGAGGACTGAATGTTCCGTAAGCTCATATCCTAATCGTACAGCACAGGACATAGGCTGGGGTATTCATCAACTCTGGAATATAGGCTAGTATCTACAAGTGACTGGACACTGACAAAGCTTTGCTTGTACCCCTATAACCCTACCCCACTCCGTGAGATCTCAGTTATTTGCTAGAGCTCTAAGGTAACGGATCTGAACCTTATAATATCCTTATTTGAGACCAATCCATCAATTCCATCTCGAACTCAACATTTTTTTTTTTTTTGGTAATTGTCTTTTTATTAACTGTTAACCCCTTCATGCCTACTGTCGCAAATATGCGGCCCCACTGGACCAAGCTTTTTTCCGATGGGCCACATATTTGTGTACCTGTCTTTGTGCTGGGAACACATTGCACGGGGCACTCCCAGCACAGAGACTGGGGTCTCCCCAAGAGCCCAGGGTCATGTGGTAATGTTCGGGACCCGAAACTCACAATTCCTGGTCACCTGATTGCTGTGATAGCTTCTGATTCACTTTCACAGTGGTCAGTCACGTTACCATGTTTTCTCTCTCAATGGAGGAGAGAGAGACATTGTGAAAAAAAAAAAAAACCTAGATAAAGGTTTTATCTAAGTCAGTGCCAGGGTTAGTGTTTTTGGGTCAAGGGTCAGAGTCAGTGTTATTATTTTTTTTTTTTTTATTATCGGTGTCGGTGTATTTTAGGCAGAATTTAAAAAAAAAAAAGCGAAATGTGCACGGTTTCTGGGCCATACTATGGGTACAAACAACAATTAACATACACGTATGTGGTATCACTGTGATTGTCAGGAGCAGGAGAATTTATTTTGAGCTATTTGGTGGTAGGGTATAGTAGTAGCAAGAAACAGCCCAATTTTGTCCTAAAAAAAAAAAAAAAAAAAAAAAAAGGTTGGATGCACAGTGTAGCTGTAATGATATATACAGTTTTACTGATTCATGTCAAAGTTGCAAAATTGTGCTTAGGCATTTAGATTTGTTTTACCCTTAGGCACAAAGGGGTTAAACAATAAATGGAAAGAACAAGGTACATATGATGTTGCTTGTAGTATAACAATGGTTCCATCAGAAAAATACCATACACTAAATTGCCAAAAGTATTGGAAAACCTCTCCAAATCAATGGATTCAGGTGTTCCAATCACCTCCATGGCCACAGGTGTATAAAATCAAGCACCTAGGCATGCAGACTGCATCTACAAACATTTCTGAAAGAATGTGTCACACTCAGGAGCGCAGCGAGTTCAAGCGTGGTACCATGATGGGTTGACACCTGTGCAATAAGTCCATCCGTGAAATTTCCTTGCTACTAAATTTTTCTCGGTCAACTGTTAGTGGTATTATAACAAAGTGAAAGCAACTGGGAACAGCAACTCATCAACAAAGTGGTAAGCCACATAAAATGACAGAGCGGGGTCAGCACATGCTGAAGCGCACAGTGCGCAGAAGTCGCCAACTGTCTGCAGAGTCAATAGCTAAAGATCTCCAAACTTTGTGTGACCTTCAGATTAGCACAACAACAGTGCGTAGAGAGCTTCAAGGATGGGTTTCCATCACCAAGTTCAATGCAAAGCGTCAGATGCGGTGCTGTAAAGCATGTTGCCACTGGACTCTAGAACAGTACAGACATGTTTGGAGTGACGAATCACGCTTCTCTGTCTGGCAATATGAATGCCAGAAGAATGGTACTTGCGTGACTGCATTGTGTCACGTGTAAAGCTAAGTGAAGGGGGGATTATGGTGTGGGATAGCTTTTCAGGGATTGGGCTTGGCCCCTTAGTTGCAGTGCAGAGAACTGTTAAGGGGTCAGCATACCTAGACATTTTAGACATTTTCATGCTCCCAACTTTGTGGGAAGAGTTTGGGAACTTCCCCTTCCTGTTCCAACATGACTGCGCACCAGTGAACAAAGCAAGACCCATAAAGATATGGGTGAACGAGTTTGGGGTGCAGGAACTTGAGTGGCCTGTACAGTCCTGACCTCAACCTGATTAGAACACCTTTGGGATGAATTAGAGCGGAGGCTGCCATCAGTGCCTGACCTCGTAAATGAAGGAATGGTCAAACATTCCAATAGACACACTCCTATACCTTGTGGACAGCCTTCCCAGAAGAGTTGAAGCTGCTATAGCTGCAAAGGGTGGACCAACCCAATATTGAACGGTACGGACTAAGACTCCATTAAAGATCATGTGCATGTAAAGGCAGGTGTCCCTATATATATATATATATATATATATATATATATATATATATATATATATATATATATAAAATATACACAGTATATACACCACTGCCAAAAGTATTGGGATATTGGCTATAGGTGTTACAGTCACCTCCATGGCCACAGGTGTATAAAATCAAGCACCTAGGCATGCAGACTGTTTCTACAAACAGTTGTGAAAGAATGGGTCGCTCTCAGAAGCTCAGTGAATTCAAGCATGGTCGCGTTATAGGTTGCCACCTGTGCAATACATTCATCCGCAAAATTTCCTTGCTATTTAAATATTCCACGGTCAACTGTTAGGGTATTGTAGCAAAGTGAAAGTAACTGGGAACAGCAGCTCAGCCATGAGCTGAGCTGCTGACAGCAGGGTCTGCGCATGCTGAAGCGCACAGTGCACAGAAGCCACCAACTGTCTGCACATTCAATAGCTAAAGACCTCCAAACTTTGTGTGGCCTTCAGATTAGCACAACAGTGCGTAGAGCTTTGTGGAATGGGTTTCAATGGCCAAGTAGCTGCATCCAAGCCTTACATCACCAAGTGCAATGCAAAGTGTCGGATGCAGTGGTGTAAAGCACGCCGCCACTGGACTCTAGAGCAGTGGTGACGTATTCTCTGGAGTGACTAATCGCTCTTCTCTTTCTGGCAATATGATGGACGTGTATGGATTTGGTGGTTGCCAGGAGAACGGTACTTGCCTGACTGCATTGTGACAAGTGTAAAGTTTGATGGAGAGGGGATTATGGTGTGGGGTTGTTTTTCAGGTTGTTTTTCCTAACTTTGTTGGAACAGTGTGTAAATGGCCCCTTCCTGTTCCAACATGACTGCGCACCAGTGCACAAAGCAAAGTCCAATAAAGACATGGATGAGTGGGTTTGGGGTGGAGGAACTTGACTGGCCTGCACATCGTCCTGACCTCAACCCAGTAGAACACCTTTGGGATAAATTAGAGCAGAGACTGAGCCAGGAATTCTCCTATGACATCAGTGCCTGACCTCACAAATGCGTTTCTGGAAGAATGGTCAAACATTTCCATAGATACCCTCCTAAACCTTGTGGACAGCCTTTCCCTACCAAGGGTGAATGGGTTCTTCATCCTGACATCTTTCCTGAAAATTGTCCTCAGTGGCTTTCAAGTCTGTCAGGGGTGTTTATGAACTAATGTCTTTCTTGTAAAGAGCCATTCCTGATCCCTCACAAAGACAAAAGTCTTGTGCCCAAGACCTATCTTTCTGCCGAAGGTAGTATTTGACTTCCACACTATGAAGACATTCCCTTCGTGTCCTGCTCCTAAGAACCCCAAAAAGATTGTTCTTCGTTGTCCAGACACTGTTAGAGATATCAGCGTTTACCTAAAAACCATAACTTATATTAGGAAGACACTCTTTTTGTCCTAAATTTATGACAAAATTAGTTTATTATTTTTTTTACTGGACATGTTTAATAGCAAAAAGTTAAAAAAATATTGTGTATTTTTCTCAAAATTTTTGGTCTTTTTTCTTTTTTTTTTTTATAGTGCCAAAAAAAAAAAAAAAACTGCAGAGGCGATCAAACACCACCGCAAGAAAGCTCAATTTGTGAAAAAAAAACGTAAATTTTATTCGGGTGCAGAGTTGCATGACCGCGCAATTGTCAGTTAAAGTAACGCGGCGCTGTAACGCAAAAAATGGCCTGGTCAGGAAGGGGGATAAATCCTCAGGACGGCAAGTGGTTAAAGAAAACCTGAGCCTACTGCCCCTATACTCAGCACACATATGCCACAGTCCTTTTATCCACAAAATATGTTATAATAACTGTGCTCAGGCAAGCGTGTAACATATGTACAAACCTCAGCACAATCCTCTTAATAAAAGTGTCACATACCAGTAGTCAGAACTGAAATGATGAGGTTGGTCTCTTGCACAGTTCCTGTCTGAGAACCCCTGGATTTTGAGAGAGGGACTGCAAGGGTGTAGTAAAGGCCAGTGCCAAGGTGTAGACACTGTGAGCAGGAACTTAGGAGTGCTGATATCGGACGAGCACAGGTACTGCAGGGGATGCACTGTGGAAACACCAAGTCCAGTTGATGGTGGTGTTAGGTCTTACACCTGGTTAAGTGGCGGCCAAGTGGAAAGACACCAAGACATAAGCTGAATGAGAGTCAGGAACAGGCAGAAGTCAGCAACAATTGGGTAGCGAGGTATAGAGTCACTAGGCAGACATGGTCAGAAGTCCAGGCCGTTGTCGGTGCAGAGGAAGACAGCAAACATGAGCAGGCAAGGGTAATCCGAGAGTAAGGTCGGAGAGAGGAAGCTGGGTCAGTAACATGATCAAGGATGTGCATCAAGACAGGGTCACAGGAACAAGGCTGAAGACCATACAACTAACAACTAGTGCACGATTTAATTCAGGCACAAATCAGGTGGATGTGCACTCACGTGCTCATATGTGTGGGCAATGATGAATGTGTAGTTGTCTTCTATGCTCATAGAAATGTGCACACCTATGTGCATTAGCCAGACAGGGAGTCTTAGGCTGATAGCTGGCACCATGTTCCTGACAAAAGTAAGGGGAATTTATCAAAACTGGAGCAGACAAAATCTGGAGCAGCTGTGCATGGCAACCAGCTTCTATGTTTAGCTTAAGTTAAAAATGAAACTAAACTGTCTTATCCTTTACAGTCAATGAAGCTGCCATCTTAGCCTTTTCTTTGATCTGCAGTTGTCATGGTGCTGCACATGTAATCAGTTATGGCACCAGCTGTTTGATGGCTTGATAGTACTGTTGAGAGCTAACGTAAGCACACTAGTAACTAAGAATTATTCAAGATCTCGGCTGATGATTAATGGCAGGGACCTGCAGATTGGCTGTGTACAGTCACAGCCCAGAGCTCTGTGTTAACATTCAACATAGAGCTCTCTACAGAGGGAATTATCTGTGTTTCTCATTCCTGCAAAGCAAGGATGAGAAACTTGAGAACCATTGGTAAAAAAAAAAAAAGCACACGTTACACATAATACACAGTCACCCATTTAACCCCTTGATTGCCCTATATGTTAACCCCCTCCCAGTCAGTGTCACTAGTACAATGACAGTGTATATTATCACTAATCACTGTATTTATGTCACTGGTGATGTGTCAGATTTCCCGCCACACTATTACAGTCCTATTATCAGTTGCTGATCACTGCCATTAGTAGTATATAAAAAATCCAGTATATACATCAGGTAAAATAAGTATTGAACACATCGCCATTTTTCTTGGTAAATATATTTCTAAAGGTGCTATTGACATGAAATCTTCACGTGTCCATAGGATATGGACAAACGCCAAGGATACAAACGCCCTGTTTATTTTCATTTCATTTGAAAGGTTCAGGGAAATGCCAACAAGAGGGGAAATTGGTTAGCAGTTTCCCCTGTGTTTCTTTAGTTTGTTATGGGTCCCTTGAGTCTGGAGACTTTAACCTCCCTAGCGGTCTGATTATGTCCATATTTCTGTGCTCAAAGCGGTGCATTTTTTTTGCATGGAAATATGTATTTTTTTTTTATTGTAGGCCTGTAATTTTTAGGAATAACTCGCTAAAATCTGTCCGAACAAGAGTCTAGTAAACATCCCGGGTATGTTACAATTTGAAACACGAAATAAATTATAATATAATAAATAATCATAAAAAATAATATAATAATAAATTTAATTCAATAATATAATCAAACCAAAAACACTGAAATTTGAAATATAGCGCCACGTTCGCACATTGCTGAGCAAAGTCGCAGAATCGTTTTCAGTGTCTGATGACGAATTTCCCCTCGAATCATCACTCAATTCTGCAAGTGGTTCTAATTTACTATCGCTGTTCTCTAGCTGGTCTAAAAACGCTTTTGACCTAAAGGGACACTTTTTGGACGCCATGGATGTTTCTCAGTTTCCAGGCAGAAAGAACAGTAAAAATGCAGGCAGGGCACAGGACAAAGCACTAGGGACAAAATGTATGTGAAATGGTTTGATACAGTAATGGTTTACTATGTGATTTTAGTGTATTTAGTGAATGTCACTTTTTTTGTCATTTTCAAGTGACAATGGTGCTTGGAAGTGATAAAGTCTGTATTTCAATAAACGTGAGGCTTTAAACAAAGGTGATCCTCTGTGTATCTTCTGGTGAAAAAACAGCAGAATTACGCACTCACCAGATGCATAATTCCATCATGCCTTTGAGAATAATTATATCTCATTAAGCCAGCTGGATCCTTCTATGGACACCTCTACCCTGGTATGGACTCCCCTCTGGGTCATCACTGGAATGCAGCACCTCTCACTTCCTTCCACTGTGGGCTCTGTGGGTGGTAAGGCTCAACAAGAGCCCCAAGAGAGGATGCCAGAATAGTGTGATACTGCTTCAAAAGGGCTTTATTGATCCATACACAGGTAAGTAACAAGAGCGAAAGTAAACATTGACTGACCATAAGCTGAAGGTAAAGATGGCCGCCGGACCAGCATGGGCCTCGGCGGCATGATGTCAGGATGCTGCAGCTCCTGCCTTATGCGTTTCGTGCTCTAGCACATAGTCATAGGGGGTGTGCCTGCAAGTGTCCGACGTCTAGTATGCTCTATTTATAGCCCGCAAATGATGCGCGTGTTATCGCGTCCGCCATTTAGCCAGCTATTTCGAGCATGCGCGGTAACACCAGCGCCATGCTGTTGGTTACCTTGCGCGTGCGCCATATTGTTGTGGATTCAAAATCCACATACAGTAATACAGGATGCGCACGCATCAAGGAGCCTTGTACTTGATGCCTTCTTATGCGCATTACACTATGATCACCAGGGCATAGGGAATCAAGCAAGAGAAGTATTTAACTCTTTTACAATATTAAATGCAAAAGCAACATATAGTTGCCAACACCCAGTGAATGTAATGGTGTAAATGTGTATGATATTAAATCTATTGTATCCCTGTGTTGTCAAATACATCTGCGCATGCACAGTAACCCGCATCGTATATGCATAATAGCCAAATCCAAAGGAAGGGTTGCTAAACATATGCATATAGCTCGAGGTAACTAAATATAAGATAATAGATGTAGCCGTAGAGCCTCAATGCTCCAATGAATCTAAAAGATCTAAATGGTGATCAATATTAATGCTATAAATAGGTAGGTATCTTATATACCGGTATCATTACATATAAGAACATTAGAATACCAATAAAATATTGTGTTAAAATTACGGTCAGTTAAAGTGCACAACTAGTAAATATAAAAATAAAATTAAAATGATAGTTAAAACCAGATGCATACTGGCAAATAACACAATTATAAAACACAAGGAAAAATAGCAAAAATGAATTAAAATAAAAATTGTAAAAGA